GTAAAGTTTAGAGCCAAAGTCGGAAAAAAAATTTTATCACCTAAATTGAGTTTTTGTGAGAAAAAAATCCTACGGATTTTCAACTTGGTCATTATGCAGCTCCGACCTCAGCCTCTTCCACATTCGTCATTGTATACTGCAAGCTTTGATAAGGTCATCCTCAAAATGTTACCTCGAATGCAACATTACAATGTGAGATTGTTGCATTTTCGGATCATTTTAATTTCGCAATTTTGTGCTTCGGAAAAATCCACTAAATATTAGGTTGAACCGAAAGTTCTTTCGCACCAAATTTGAAAATTTATAACTTCTGAATTTTCCATCCGATTGGACCGCTCTTATACTTGTACGAAAGAGTAAGTCATACTTTTTATAACGACGTCTTAGCGGCTTACTAATGAGCAACTGTTGCATAGATAGGAGCGGTAGAAGAAAATTAGTCAAAATTCGAATTTTCTTTGCACGTCATAAAAAATCGGAAACTTGCAACAAAAATCGGAACAGTCGGTATTGTAGGTTTTTTCACCAGCTCTTCCTAACTGTGCAAAGTTTGCGCTGAATGAGCGTCTCTATGAAAAGTTACGATTTTCCTGGAAAATACCAAAATAAATCAAATTCGGCCTTTTGTATTGCTTGCTCGAAAATCATAACTTTTCATAGAGACGCTCAATCGGCGCAAACTTTGCATGTTAGAAAGAGCTGGTGAAAGAACTCACAATACTAACTGCTCCAATTTTCGTTGCAAGTTTCCGATTTTTTATGATCCTACACAGAAAATTCAAATTTTGACCAATTTTCTTCTATCGCCCCTATCTATGGAACAGATGATCATTAGTTAGCAGCTAAGACGTCATTATAAAGAGCATGATTTACTCTTTCAAACAAAAAAAGAGCGGTCCAATCTGTTAGGGAATTCAGTAGTCATGAATTTTTGAATTTTGTGCGAAAGAGCTTTTGATTTAACCTAATACTTTTCCGTACTCATGTGTACAATGTATAATGACCAAGTTGAAGGTCCGTGGAAATTCGAAGGAGATCCGATTTTTAGTGCGCTTTAATATTTTAATTTTTGGCTCCAACTTTTACCTTGCTACGCCTTAGGTGGGTCTTTGGTGGCCATTTTTTAGAGCTTGCTTTGCTCTATCGAATGGTAGCCTAAGTTTGCTAGGAAGCAAAACAACCTGACACTCGAAAAAGGAGTTTCTTTTGGAACAACCTAATACAAAACAAAGAGCCTCTTGAAACTCGCTTCCAAATTTTAGAAAAAGTCGGCAGGAATACTTCAGCTCAACACTGTACACGAATAACATACAGGATGTACCAAAAATAAGTACACTTTTCATTCGTTAATGTCTTTCTTTCATTATCTCTTTTTCCGCCATTTAAGTGCCATTCTGTAGAGGAGGCTTCAACTTAGATTTACAGTATCGAGCGAATCACCGATCGCTCTTCATTGCTGTAGATTACTGTATCAACTTCGACAAGGATTTTAGGATGAAAGCTATATTCTGCCTCGGAGCAAAACCGAACAAGCCAAAAACTTTTATACTATGGTAATGGAAGCCGCTGATTTCGAATATGAGATTTCCACTTTACTGTAATGCTTCTTTCAAAATTTATCCCAGGAAACAGCAAAAACCGGATTCCCAGTTTTTGTCAGAAATGTGAATATGCCGCCAAAAAAGCTGCAAAACTCGTAATAGGTTGCGTAGTGAAATCAGCGTGCGCGAAAATCTTAGTAGACGATTTTTCAGAATTTAGAAAAAAAAATTTGTCAGATGGCATTTCAACATGGTTCCACATGCTGGAATTCTTACCGTAATCCTATAGTAAGGAAGAGCGATTGGTATTCGATCAATAGTGCAAATCTAAATTGAAGCCTCCTCTAGAGAATGGTACTTGACTGGCAATAAGAGACCCGTTGGAAAGAGAAATATTGACAATTGAAAACTGTGCCTTTACCTTTGGGAAACCCCATACTTTAAGAAAAGCAAAACAAATCAAATTCGAGAACAATCACATTTTTGGAGTTTGGGAGATTTTGAAGGCGTTTTAAATCGATTTACTATTTCGACAAAAAACGTAAAGAATAAGTTAGAGTACTTAACCTTCAATTAACAACGTTTACGAGATGCAGTGCATCAAACAATAAAAGGCTTCCATGTAGAAATATGCAGAACCATATGAAAGAACATACGGAAACGACGTGATTGAAATCCTCAAAGGCAGTGGTTCGGCAAATCTCAACCTGGTCAAATTTTTGCTTACCTAGGGTTATTCATTACGCTGACCCCGAGAATCCACTTTAGAGAGCTTGACGGCGAAAACGAGCGCTTTTCGATGCCCTTCCCTCTGAAACTGGACGAGTGGAGCAAGGCTGATAGCGCTGAATCGTGGCGGGACCCAATGAATAAAGCATTGCGGCGGGCAGCCTCCAATGGTGAGAAGGAAATTTCCAACTCGTCCGGCGCGTGTAAGAGTGGCTTACGCGTGTAAGCTTAAGAGCAATTTTCTCGGCAAAGGTATGTTGTGCTACCGGAATTGCGCTGTTCTTATACTTGGGCGATAAACAACCTACCGTTTTGAAATCGTGGGTTGTTAAGTTTTGCTGATCCACTGCCTATAAAGGCAGCATACACCCAGGATTTCGCCTTCGATGTTTTTGCCAATCTGGGGACTTTCCGTGCCCCTAATTACAGTTATAACATTGAAATCCTAAAAAAGTCTCAAAAAACCCTTCCCGGGGACCCTCTCTTCAGAGGGCTGACGAGTTTCGAACTGCGTCCTCGTCGACACGCCAGCGAGGAGCAGCTGCCAGCATGACAGCCTGCAGTTGCAACTGTAATTGAAGCGTATGCTGCCGTGGATTCGTCGTCCGAAGGAGGCGCACCGCAAAAAGCAACTGCACTGTTGCAGCTTCACTTGCAAATGCAACTGCAGCTGCAGCTCCAGCTTACGCTGTCATAGAGTCGTCCGAAGGAGGCGGGCTGAAAAGAAAGGGGTGGAGCGAAAAAAAATTGGGCGGGTTTTCTCCGCTCAGAAGTAACATTGGAAGACCGGACCAATGCAGTAGGTCTTCTTCTAGGCCCTAGATATACACGGTATAGAGAACTGGGTAACTTAGATTTTGGGTGTATTGGGAGTGACGAATGGGGCTTCCGCGGCCGCCTCGGCTGGGCTTTGCATCTGTCGCAAACGTGTTGTATAATTATTTTTCCTTGCTTGGTTAGCGATTGAGCTCAGCCTTTCTTGCGCTAGTGATGGGAAAGAATAAGAGAGAAAAATGAAGAGATGCAGAGCCCAGGCGAGGCGGCCACGCGGAAGACGAGTCCCGCCCGCCACCAATCACTCCCATTGGTACAGGGAACATGACCGTGATTTTTCGGTCACCAGCTGTACATTCGAATTTCCGATGTGGAGAATATATGCGTGAACAAAAATCTGAAGTCTATAAGAATTGTGTAGATGGAGGCTTCATTTTCCGAACGTTTGATTTATATTTTGGCTTTACACTCAACGTGTATCAAAGTCTGAGCAAATGCTAGAACCATCTTGTAGAGCATGCTGCTCCATCAGATGATACCCCAATCACTGCTTGGCGCTCACTGTGCCCGGTAGGATATGATGAGATATTATTTTCAGAACGATCTAATAAAAAGTTCAAAATCAGCTTGAACTAACAGTCCTGCATTCGTTTGTAAATAGGGAAGTACATTTCAATTTATTCCATAGGCAAATTCAACAGGCACAACCACACAATTAGAATGGATTCTCTGAAACGCCGACAACAATAGAAGACTTTTCAAGGACCGCATGAAAAAGCAGGAAGGCGCACATTTTCTTTCCTTACTACTAAATCGAACGGTAACTTCGAGAGAAGATTCCGTTGAAATTGTTTGTTGTTTTCTTGTTCCTTCTATGTATGTATCAGAAATAACTAAGCGTGGCTTCACGGTTCTGTGACCTATAACTCGCACGCGGCTTCCCATTGCTGCCTTTGCAATATAGTGCGAACTGCATCGTCTAGATTTTCGATCACTTCATGTCTCGGTGATAAATCAAGGCAAGTTTTGCCAGAAATTCTTCAATTAAATTCTTTATCCACTAGGAAGTTGTATCACAGTATCTCATAGAGTCGCACGGTTTCGACTGGCAAATGTAGCATTTATCGTCAGCGCACTCGTCGGAAAACCAAGCGAACCTAAAAAGGAATAATAATAACAACAATGATTCATGCTTTATCGGCCTTTCATACTATTACACTATGTGACCTAAAGCATAAGCCCGTCATACTTTGCCAAAAAAGCCCAAAGAAGCCCGAAAAAGCCCAAAAAAGCCCGAAAAAGCCCAAAAAAGCCCAGAAGCGCCAGCGAAAGAGTCGGAACACTTCTCGCACGTTTTGGCGCTAAGGCATGTGTGTTGACTTCGCAATCGAGCCTTTTTGTCATTTTCTGTCGTCCGCATGACAAGGTAATGTCAGAATTCTACCAAATGTTCATTTCTACATTCCGGCTCTTTCTGGCGCATTCGGGCTTTTTTGGGCTTCTTCGGGCTTCTTTGGGCGCTTTTGGGCTTTTTTGAGCTTTTTCGGGCTTTTTTGGGCGCTTTTGGGCTTTTTTCGGCGCCTTCAACTAATCTTGCTATTCTTTGCCGACAGTACCAGATATATTTTATGTTTGATGTTGATGACAATTGATTTGTAAATAATGACCGAATCTAAGAGCTCATGCTGTTTAGACAGCATTCTCTTTGTGACAAAAAGAAATAAAATTACTGACCGCAGAGAAATGAAATATCGTTCTTCAACATAAGTTGCTACAGGCATCGTTTAGATTATCTTTATTATCTTATTATTTCTTTGTTGACAGCGGTTACTTTTTTTCCAAATAGAAATTACAGGAATCGACCTTAAGGACCACTACTAGAGAATCTGCGAAAGAAAGACTTCTGAATAAGATGATGAATGATTGATGTTATGTAATACTTGCTATCCTACTATTTCAGTTTCTTCCTCTTCTTCGTTCTAACATACCTAAATCCTGAATACTGCTGCATATAGGCACAGCTTCCATTGCCTGGTTGATCTGGACCCCAATTTGTATATCCAGCATGAAAATACATCATTTTTCACTCTTTTACACTTTTTACAATGACTCAGTGTTACTTACAGAGTATCCGCCCTGCCATTTCCAACCACCACCATCATTTGTCAAGCCCAACCAGAATTCCGTTTTTAAAGGGAATACTGAAAGTGAGTTGCAGTAGTTATCTTGTTTCTTTATTCATCATATGTCAGTAGTCTCACTTGACGTCAAAAATGAGTTTTTTGCGGAATCCTCGACGAGTGTCAATGTAGAATTGTGATTACGCCTACATGCTTGCTGTGCCAATGGCTGCAAGAATATTGATACGGGCCAATGGTTTGTAGGAAAATCTTCAAGTATTTTTTGGTGATGTTTTGAAGACGTGATAATTTCAGGGTCTACTACCTGCGAAGGAGCTACGACATCAGTCCCTATACTAGTTAAGACCTTCAGTGGACGAATGTGGGCAATCTTGAAACTAAGTTCTGTAGAAAGATGAGAATTTGCGGTGGTACATTCAAAGGCCTGTAGCATACAGTCCATTACATGGAAGCAGCTCAACACCTCTTTTTTGAAAGCATAAACATTTTTGTCTCCTCTATTTCTACTCGAAGGAAGAATACAGCACCGATATAGTTGAAGGTTTAGCTATGGTTCAAGTTATAATTTAACTGATCCAGTAATCTAGAGTGGTCCAGTAGAATTAACGAGTGGGTTGAAAGAAAGTTATGACTCAGTCAGGTAAATCAAGTTCAGATATCTTATAATTCTTTACGAGAAAAAGTTTCTCCTTTTTCAATCATTTGCAAAGAAATTTTTCATGATTTTAGGTGAATTTTTTGAATAGTTTGAATGCAAGCAGATTTGGTAGGAAACTATAAGGTTGCAGGTTGCTCGATGTTCTCGGACATTTTCAGATTAGATCTGCCAATTCTCGAAATTCAATGCATGTACATCCGAGAGGGGTACCATTTGATAGAGCGAAGCAAGCTCTACAAGATGGTATGCAAGAGTTTGCACCAGCATGGACCACCGTAGGTACGCATCCAAAATCTGAGTCGTACTGAAGGCTCGAAAAATTGAAAAAAAAATTCATGTCTTCATTCAGAAAAAAATCTTACGGATCTCCTTGCTCACACAAATTGCACACCACATCAGACATCATATGTACCTATCCTGTATTTTTTCCTTGTCTGGAAATCAAGAAAAGAAAGTTCTCATGCTTACACAAAAACGAAGTTATAGTTCATTCGTTGATCGCATGGACTGAGCATCACTACGGAGCACGCGCCGCGAAGTAAAACGCTTGACCCAGTACAAACCGCCATTGCACAAATCGTGCTCTCGCAACATTTTAGCCGCGCTGCGCGGGTTCGCCGCGTTTGAGCAGTCCGTGCGGTCAACGAATCAACGATACGCTGTTCTCACTCATGTAATTATCTAGTACAGTGCCTTTAGAATAACCGTAAATTTTCAACTTTCCAAAGGTTCTAGTTTTCGAAAATCACCGGATTTAACACTCCTCACCCAGGTATTCCTTACTAAACTCAGTATTTTTCGAAGACTAGGGCTTGCAGAAAGCTGAAAATCCACGGTTATACTTCTAAGGGCTTGTACTATACAATTTCTTGAGTGGAAACAGCAATGCTTCGTTTTTATATATGCATTAAAATTTTCGTTTTTTCTACTCTAGATGAGGAGAAAGTACAGGAAGTACTTATGAGTACTTATGAGTGCCTGATGTGGTGTGCAATTTGCGATCCATTTCAAGATCCGTAGGATGAAAAATTGAAAGGTCCTTTGAACGAAGATATGAATTTTTTGAATTTTTTGGACGTTTAGTACGACTCAGTTCTGGATGCTAACTTACGGTGGATCGGAGCTGGTACGAACTTTGCATGCCATCTCGTAGAGCCTAATTTGCTCTATCGAATGGTATCTCTATCGGATATACAAAAATCAGGTATCGAGAAATAGCACATTTAGTTTGAAAGTGTCTGAGAACTTTGGAGCCAACCCAATAACTTTCCAAAGAGGTTTTTCTATGATTTGTAAAATAGTTTATAGCTGTTTGAAAAACACTTTTTTGGCCTACCTAAAAGAAATAAAACTTTTCCCGTTTATTCATTAAACTAAATTGGGGTAAGGCACATACACTCAGCGAAACGCACAAAACCGACTAAAACCTCAGAATTGGGGTTAGCCCCACCTTACATTGCTGCTGGAAGTGAAATGTCCTTTCAAGTTCATTTTAAATGGAGTTAAAGCCCATGTTCCGTTTTATAGAGATTTTTCGCACAATTCTATCGCAAACGAAAGCTTACATAGGGTTGAATCATCTTCATTGCACCGCTTTGCCTTCTGGTTGCGATAGGATGAAAATTTTGGTTAACGCGATTAATAACACCCGATCAATTTCTATCGGGAACGACTAAAATAGGGTGGTAAAGTCCGTTTTCCTTCATTAGGGGCTTTCGCGATATGAGCCCTATTAGACATCAGAAGAATATGTTGAGGAAGTGAGAGGGTAAGAAGCATCTCAAAAATGAGGCGTGACTGACGCCACCCCTTCATTCAAGATACACTGCTGAAGACTGCGGTATTCTCGTCGAATAAATTCGAAAACGAAAAACACAATGGAGTAACAATTAGCATTCACCTGTGTATCTGGGATTGAAACAGGATAGTAGCATCCGCCCTGCGGTGCATTCCACTTGTCCAAATTGTATTCTAGCCAGTTCTTTCTGCAGAAGCAATTTGCTGAAAAGGTGGTAAGTAGATCACAGTCAAACACTTGGGAAAAACTTGACTCAGTAAAAACACCTACAACTCTTCATTTGATATTCGAAGATTTCTTCATGAAATTTATGGGAGGGCATTCAAAAAAGAAAGTGATGAATTAGTAAATTACCCTTGCAAAGAAGATCTCTCAAATCGTATACGACTAGTCTTGTTCCGTCATTCTTCTCATTCGTAAGGTTGTAATTGGGAGAAGCAAGAGACCTTAGATATGGCACTTCTAAACCATGTTCTTGGACATACTCTAAATCAAATTTGTGATTATACAAAATATGCAAACTGCAGAGGTCATTTACCGATAGTTATAATTATGCCGCCATCTTCACGAAAGCCTGCGGCAGCTTGTGATGGATCGTTATAAGCTCCAGATCTATAGATTTTAATGAAGAAAAACGATAGTGGCGGTTTTCTGCACTTATGCACCTGTAGGAATTTCCAACAATTATGACTACTGGTCGTGCGGCGATACGATGAACACTGCTCTTGAAGCGGTCTGTGGCCATTTTGAGAGCTCTGTGAAGCTCTAGCACGTGGAAAAAGTCGAGAAAAAACAAACTCAAACCCCTCGATATTTGTGCCTAGATCGTCATAGGTTTCTATGTCAAGGTCGTAAAGATCCTCTGTAGAATTGTAGGTGTCCAAGTCGGCGATGAGTTGAACTTCCGTAGCATAACGAATTACCCCAAAGCGAGTTTGGTACTGCTCTTCTTGCCCAATCGTCAGTTTCAAAAGTGCAACCACCACGTATTCAGTTGCCTATAAGTTGCATCAATATCATTAATTTTATTTTTTGAATGAAGTTAATTGCCGCAGCTTGTAGGAAAAGTGCTGCAAAAGTTTCTAGACTGCACATAAAAAAGGCGGACCGAGGAGAGGGAAAGGGCAGAATGGGGAAGGGTGTGGTGCTCGAAATCACTGGAATTCAACCACATTGTTTGAAATGTGGTGCAAGTGATTCGTTTCTCAATCGTGAATGAATCGAATATTCAAAAATTTTTAGAATTCAAAATTGTTTTGTAGGAAAAGTTTTCAAAAGCGTGGCTGCAACGCGCCCTTTTCCGAAATCGGAACTGGGAAGCATCCCACAATTATTTTCGGAGGCCACGTCAGCCACATACCTTCACTTGGAAAAAAAACTGTACCCCCCCCCTTGGGGGCAAATTTTCTTGGACCGTCACTGATGAACAGTGATCACGGTCCGATTTCTATCATGCGCAGGCCATAGTCAAGAACGCTGATTGGTAATTGCGGTCACAAAATTTAAAGTGGAGATTTCCAGCCATACTCTGTTCCTCACATGGCCGTAACAGCATTTGCGGAACCAATCTGAAGACTCGTGGACCTTCTTGGAGGCCGCAATTCCTACACGCTATAAGATAAGCCGAACTTGTGAGTTTCGCCGCGATGATAAGGCTTCCTTCAACGTTTGCCGCTTGATTACAAGTTAGTAAAGTTAGGCTCTGGTCATTGATAGTGGCCGGTGTCCACCACTGGAATCCTTGACAATAGAACCAAACGTGAAGGAGTGGCTTGAACTAGTTTCGGACGTCAACTTGTATTTTTGTGTAGATTGTGGTCTTTATGCCAGGCTGGAAATGAAGACGGGTGTTTAAAATCCTGCTAATTCAGAAACATATTAAGCCCGCGGGTGCAAATCGCCGTTTATCGGGCGCTTGCCGGCCACCCGGTATTGTTCGGGTGCTTATCGGGTCATCGCAGGCATCGTCGGGAGCTTATCGGGCACCGCCGTGGCTGGTCGACGGTGGTCGCCATAATTGTCTGAGTACTCCTTAAGGTTTTGCTGCTTGACCCTTAGGGTCTCCTTTTAGTTGGTTCGAACTGATTTTTGAGTGGCAAATGTTGAGAACAATTTTCAGACTTACTCCATAAATTCCAAACTGCATAGAAGCTGTGGCTTCCATCAGCAAGAACACATCAAGCCATATAGTTCCATAGTTACATTCACATCCAGCGTCGGCGCTATCAGCTGGTAACAGGGTAGGATATACCGGTGGCTGTATCGTGTAAGTAGGATCTATAAGTTGTTATGTGTCTCAATATATCACCATGAATTCTAATCATAAGAGCATTCACACGCAACTGTTGTTGCACAGATTTTTTTCTTGAAAAACTAAAAGTAATAACAGATGTTCGGGTTTTTTTGGTAATGCATAGGAATGTCAATGAGTTGCAGAAAAAGAATAAAGGATTTGGCGTCTTCAATACCTTTGGCGAGCATGCGCCGAACGCACACTTCTTCGTAGTCTAAAAGACTATTATTTGAGTGAGAGCCTTTCACATGACTTTCGCGGGCTACCAGATTACCAAGTCAGTGCTGCTTCTATTCTCCCACAATTACCCTGGTACCATACCGACTCCGAGGGTAGAGGGCTTGGTTGACCCAGGGTCGGAGTCGAACCTGCATCCAACTTGGTCATAGCGGGCCTCATACCACTACGCCAATCATCCCCCGTACTGAAAATACTGTCAATAGTCTCATCCCGTTAACTGGGTAATGTATTGATTATTATTCATTTCAATTATAAAATTCAAAATCAGAAGGATGCCGTCAATCCTGATAAAAGTTCTGTTGATCCCAATACCGTAGCTTTTAGATATAGGGATTCTTCAGTTTCTGGAGCATTCAGGGAATGAGCTGATTCATTTGGTTAGAACTTTCAAGCGCCACTCAAGGATAATAGAACAGATGTTATTTCAGCATCCTTTGAAAAAAATTCTTTTCTATTTATGTTGTCAAAACGAACCACAAATAGATTCGTCCACATATCGTGACAATTGATCTGGTTCTGTTGTAAGCGCATCGTACACAACTGTTTGCTGGAAGCTGCTCATGAGATAATTTTCAAAAGGATGGTTGTAAATGACTCACCGGCCAGGCGTAAAAAGAACAATTACCGTAGTTCACAATCACTATGGAAAAATCTACTGCCATTTTACTATCGATGTAGAATTGAACTTCTAATGCTGCAGCATCTACGTCGCTTTGATCTCTAAAAAGTAGTACGGATAATTTTAAGTAGTTGTTGTGACGGTAATCGTTACAAAAAAGGAAAGAGGATAAATTCAATAATGGTGTTAGGCGGTCTTTTTTTTAATTAAAAATTAATATATCTTGGCAGCGAGAGCACCTACAAGGATATAAATATATGGTTGTACTTCTCAATGCATAAACTATATGATTATAGGTGTGGGAGGAGCCCAGAACGTTAAGGGCGGAGTCTGCCACTTCACCCTAATAATATTTTCTTTGTTTCTGTGTAGAGCCGTCCCTTATATTGGAACTTGCTCGCTCACTATAGGCAGGTCGATATGGTCTCTGTGGTTGCGGCGTACTCGCCGCACCTTGATATATTTGTGTGTTGTAGAAGTATTCCTAGTGAACCCTCGGCATGTACGCCGATAGGCAGAAGGGGAACTCCTGTGTTTTTCTAATAAACTGTCAACGGCTCAACGCGTTCCACATCAACTGGCGATCAGAATCAAGGGCAAGAAGATCTTCGCGACCAACCGAGGACGAAAAGAAGCTCCATCGCCGACCAAGGAGAAGAAAAAGCCTTCAGTCGATTTCAAGGACAACTTCTTCAGATAAGTTCTATTTGAGCAATCGATCGACGAGAGGGAAGAAATCTCGTTGTAGCCGTGGAGCCATGCCGAAGTTCGCAAAAGAGCGGCATGCGGATCTAAAGAAGGTTCTCAACGTCATGATGGAGCAGATGCGGCTTCAACAAAAAGAAGTTCGGGTCCAGATGCAAGCCCAACAGGAAGAAGAAGTTCGGGTCCAGATGCATGCCCAACAGGAACAAATGAAGATGCTGATCGCTACTCTGGCCAACAATCAGAGTGTAGCCGTCCATGATGCCAACAAAGATCAATACGATCAGCTGAGCAAGGGTGTGCAAAGGTTCGTCTCGGACGAAGACACAGGTAATACTTTTGCGTACTGGTATAGCAGGTATGGACCAGCCACAAGCGAGTCCTTGTTGTCAGACAACAAGAAGCGTGACCTGGTCCTCATGAAGTTGAACGAGGAAGCATACCGGAAGTATGCAGATAAGGTCTTGCAAAACCACACGACTTAAATTTCAGCACAACAATCGAGACTCTCCAGAAGCTGTTCGCATCCAAGAAGACGCTGACAAGAAGAAGATATAGTGCCTTCGCGTCACCTGCCCACCGCTTACTCCGACGTATGTACCTTCCGAGAATACGTTAACACAGTCAAGCGGATGGATGAGGACGCTCGACTCAAGGAGCTTGACTTTATTGGAATGAAGACGCTGCAATGCCGCTTTTCAGGACCCGTCATTGCGAGACGTCTGCCTCAGGATAATTCGCAGACTGGATGCACATACGGACGAAACACCGCTGACAATCGAGGACTTGGTGAGCGAATGCGAGAGTTACACCACGTCAAAGATGGACAGCATGGATATGGAAGGAACCCGCGATGTCCATGCGGTGTGGAAGGAAAAGGTGGATTGTTTTAAATGTGGAAGACCGCATTTCAGCAGAGATTGTCCACAACCCCCTAAAACAAGCCGAAGGAAACGACGGAAGACAGGGACTCAGCCCTACGGTCGAAGAAGACTATGTAAGAACGTGATCGCCTCAACGCCGAAGATGCCCGCACCTACCTCGACGTTGTCGTCAGAGGATGCCCTCTCAAGCTCCAGTTGGACACAGGGGCAGATAGAACGCTGATATCGCGCAAACCTTGGAAGGGGATGGAATCTCCGGTTTTAGAACCGTGTGTGATGCCTGTTAAAATTGCAGATGGGACGCCGATGCAGATCGATGGTAAATTTTTAACTGATTCCAAGGTCAAAAATCGAGTAACAGGACGGATGGTCCATGGAAAAGGAACATGCTATGTCACCGAAGGCTCGAATCTCCTGGGATTGGAGTGGTGGATCCAGTTGTCGGAATACAAGAAATTGAAGACCAAGACAACTGCAGGAAGGTGACTAGCGAAAAAGAAATTCGAGCCGTAGTTGTCGCCGACTTGAGGAGCATCCAGATGTCTTCAGGAGCAAACTAGGGAAATGTAGGAAGAGCAAGGCTAGGTTAGTCTTAAAAAGATGCTGTCCCCAGTCTTCAAGAAGAAGAGACCAGTTTCCTACGCCACAGCACCGGAAATGGAAGCAGAAATCGATCGGCTGGTAGCCGAAGGAGTTATTCTGCTGTAGAACACTCAAGGTGGGCCGCTCCAATAGTCGCCGTCAAGAAGAAGAATGGCAGGATCCGTCTGTGCGCCGACTTCTCGACGGGACTCAACGATGCATTGCAGCTGCATCAGCACATTGTCCACAGCGGAGGATGTGTTCACCAAGCTTAATGGAATCCAGCTCTTCACTCAGCTCGATTTGGCCGAGGCATATCTACAGTGGAAGTTGAGGAAGCATCGAAGGAGATGCTGACTATCAATACGCACAAGGGATTGTATCGCTACAATCGTCTTCCCTTTGAAGTGAAATCGGCTCCAGGTATATTCCAGCAGATTATGGATTCCATGATAAGTGGGCTTGATGGAGTAGCCGCTTATCTTGATGACGAGGAACATCGCCAAAACTTGGAAGCCTTGTTTAAGCGAATCAAAGATTACGAATTCCACGTCAGGTTGGAAAAATGCAACTTTCTGATGCCAGAGACCTGTTACTTAGGTCGCATCATCGACAAAAACGGACGCCGGCCGGATCCAAGGAAGATCGAAGTTATTCAACAAATGCCAGTTTCGAAGAACATAGCGGATGTTCGCTCATTTCTCGATATAATTAATTACTATGGATTGTTCATAGCTGAAGGGAAGGAAGGTGGGTCGAAGTGGCCTTTCAGATTGAGGTGGGTATCATCTTGTAGTGCTTCGAACGCTGATTTCAATTCTGCCTTCCTTATCTGCGGCGCGTTTTTGGGCGAGTAGTTCTGAGGGTTTGGGGGGGGGGGGCGGAAGTCGATACAAGTACAATCAAGCACAGCACAGCGATGTGTGCCGTCTTGTGTAGTGGTTAGCAGAGTCAAGCGTGGGGTGCGGCACGCCACACCTGGGGGGTCGTATTGAGGAGTCAAAAGGGGAGGGGGTCGTAGTTGGGTAATCTGATAATAGTTATAACATGATATTCGTATCATATCTATAATTAGTATGTCAATTAACCCCCGTAGACAAAGTGTGAGCGAATTCTGAAGATTCAAGATACCAGGCTACCTCAATGAAATGGTGAAATTCCAACATGGTTAACTTTGTTCCAAAGAAGTATTAGCTATCCGTTTTTGCACTCAAGACAAAGCACTACTCCTTCTTTGTCCAGCTCAGGAATCCCGCTTCAGAAGACCTGCAAACTGTGGAATTAGAAGCCAACCAAAATTTCGTTTTTCCCATTTTTCGCTTTTGATCGCTGTGCTTTCACCAAATATTACTTAGAGCTAAGAAGACAAATCAGGCTCCAAACATTCCTATGGAATCTACAAGGTTTAGGCTATCGTATAAATACTGTGCGCTAAAAAAGTTTTTTGATATAGTTAATGGGGTGCGGCACACCCCCTTAAAAGCTGCGGCTGCCGCAGCTTTTAAGGGGGTGTGCCGCACCCCCTTAACTTGCCTTCAAAATCCAGAAAGCGCTCCATTGCTGGTATGAGTATTGAGCACATAGATTTTTTTTGCTAGATTGGAAATTTGGAGCCGAACGCCCCACCCATAAGAAAACTATGGCCCTTTCAATATGCCCATTCAGATCAAAATCAGCCGTCAAATTACGTGTGATTGTAAAGTGCAGTCACAGATCGGGCGTGCAGCTCTCAGAAATCTGAAAACTCTCTAGAAAAAGATGGAGTCCTCCAGAATGTCACACTTTGAGGTCCAGAGGTCAAGAGGAGGAAGAAGGGGTCGTTTGAGGGCTTCCATAGGGGGGGGGGGGGGTTTCGAAAGACGTGTGCCTGACCTCTTTCTCAACTCTGGTAATGCTATCTTAGGTATATATTATAGTTCAGGGGGGGGGTCTTATTAAGACAGCAATCAGGGGGGGGTCGTAACCAGCGATCGTGTGCCACAACCCTTGCTTGACCCTGGTGGTTAGTGCGGTGGTCTTGCAGGTAGAGGCTCCCAGGTTCGAATCTCCTGTTGTGGTTTTCGTTTTGCTAGTCTATAAACAATTTATATGAGCATGGGCAGCGTCCATACACCACCCCTTGTTTCTTTTATCAGAATCTCGAAGCAACAACTGCTTTTTCTGAAGGTCTTTGCAAGTGATTTAGAGTGGAGGTAGAAATGTCAAAAGAATCAATTTGTCACGTAACACCCTGGTGAACGTAAGAAGTCACATTGTTGTCAACATATTCGGCAACATTCAGCTTATTTCTGGTACGCCAGCGGCTATCTTGATGCACATCCGGGAAAAACGCCTGCACAGTGCTGCTTCCTTTCCAATTTGATAGGAAACTGTGACCATTCGGATTGTTCAAAAGTAGTCTTCATTCGTTGCTCTCACTGTGAAAAATGCCGATGTTTTGCACATTTTGTCCTCTCCTTTCATCAGTTCACATAGACGTTTGAAAACATAGTGTAATAAAACTTTTTTGAAGAGATTTGTTGTCAAAAGAAGGAAGAAGTGATGTACAGACGATACGCGTGCTCATACAAATTTTCTGTAGACCAGCAAAAGGGGGACCACAGCAGGAGATTCGAACCTGGGAGCCTCTGCCTGCAAGACCACCACACTAACCGATACACCAAAAAGCGCACAGCGGTGTGCTGCCCTTGATTGTACTTGCATCGACTTCCGCCCCCCTAAAACCCTCAGAACTCCTCGCCCAAAAACGCGCCGCAGATATGGAAGACAGAT